ATCAAAGTTTTAATAACAAAATAGTCACGAATTTGAATTTTATTATTCATATTTATTTAATAAAAACTAAATATAAGATAATGTGGATTTATATAAATTTTATACTCAATAAATTTTTACTTAAAGAGGTATGCTAAAATATAATATAAATTATATATTGAAACTTTATTTCTTTAATTAAATTGGTTCTTTTGACAAATCTCAACTAATTAACGCTATTAAAATCTCAACCTAATTTATTTTTATATATATAAAAAAGATTTATATGACTTGTTTAAATTTTTTTTATTAAATTTATAGATTTTAATGTTGTTTATTTATAAATATGTCTAATACATATTACACATCTCAATATTTATACAACAAGGAATGATTTAGATAATAATCCGTCCACATTCTCGAAAATAATGTTGTTAATTACATAAATGTTCACAACAAATGCTAAAATTATGTAAATCATTGATGCAGCAAAGTCGAATAATGTCATTTACTGTAGTAGTGAGTGAGCCCTTCGCAATTAGCGTTCCAATATATCGGTCTCCTTCATAAAAGTCCCACCCCGCCGCATGTTTGCAGGTGACTTTCGAAAGCATTCCCACCACAGCACTAATTATCAAAGGTAGAAAATTCTCAACAATCTTAGGAGATTGACCTCTCCGAAACTCCAAACACCGCCCTCACATTTACACCATTTACCAAGCCCTATCTTTGGCCGAACAAATTAATTGGGTTTGCATATATTTCTTTTTAAATTAAACTCTTGCAAGAGATGCAAGTTATGAAGAGGCAGGCAGACCATAGATAGGGGGGAGATGGATGCAAACCATCTGATCTCTTTCCCTTGAAAAAAAGTAAATTATGGCCTTGAGCCGAAATCTCATACTTATCATGAGATCATAGTTATGGAAGCAGACCTGGAATGACAAGTTTGATTCCGTAAATAGTAATTCAAACTCTGATCATCCATGCTTGGATTTTACTTTAAACTAATTTAAATATCAATAAACTTGAGTAATCTAACATATTAATATATAAATCAAAATATTAAATAATCTGATTAAACCTTATCGCATCAAAGCAAAAAAAAATCATTAAAATAATATTCTTTTAAATAAAAACAATCCAATAATACAAGTTGTTTTCCAAGATTGACCCCAAATTAGGTATACCAGCTATACTTGAGAATATTCTGAATGCCAAATTTGACACTGCGCATCCCTTGAAAAGATCACAAAGTGATTAGATGCATGATTGTCAACCTTCATCTAGAGGACTGACTTAAAGACTTGGGTAGTGGCAATCAACTGGTCCCTTCTGCAGCTCCTTGTATTGTAAAATCTAGCTGAAACCCACTTACCACACGATAATGGGGGCATTGCCAACCTATCATGGCTTGGTCAATAACTAAGCTGGCCGCACTTTCTGACATAGCAGGTCCCATCTTGTTGCTCTTGCTTGCATGAATTATCACTAATCATGTGGATCATTGCTTAATTGTTGGTACTTAATTATTTTAAAATCACCCACTCTCTCATATAAGCACCATCTCAAGTGCTCAACCTTCCTACTTGGATCGATTGGATAGACACCTGCGCAATCAAATGTTTTGACTGTATAATTAGTTTTGAGTTTGTTTTATAACAATTACATAGTTAAGTTTTTTTATTGGAATTATTAGGAATTTATATTATCATTAATTTTAAAACTTATAAAATTAATCAAGATATATATATAACTGATTAAAATATTTATATTAATAAAAAATATTATAAAAATAACTTAATTAACAATAACTTGATTAATACTGTTAATTAGGCCTAAAGATTAAGAAATAATACTGCATTTATTAATCCTTCACTTTGAATTTAAGGACTTTGATTTCACGTAGATATGTGCATCTATGTATTTCTTTGACAATTTAACTTGAATCAATGACGTTGTTTTCATCAAAATTAACGTTGTTTATTGTACAATGTTATTTGGATTGATAATTTGATTAAGAAATAAGAACGGTACAAGGATGACATGAAGAATAATCACAGTATTAAGTGTTAGATGCGAACTTTACTCCTTTATCGAGAATTGGCAAAATGCTCATAGTAAGGTAATAAAACACTGTTATGCACTGTATCAACCATGAAGTAATAAGCGTTGAAGTGCCAGGAGTAGCTCCTAGTCTAGTGCTTTTCATTCTAGCTTTGAGAGTTTATGGTAGTGTTTCAACATGCAGTCGGAAATTGTTTTTAAAAAAAATTAATTTTTTTATTTAAAATTAATATATTTTTAATATTTTTAAATTATTTTGATATGATGTTATCAACTATAAATTTTAAAAAATAAAAAATATTACTTTAAAAACAACTACTACCATACTTATAAACACTTTATAAATTAAACATACAATTGATGAAATAAAAATTGGGCAACCTGTGATTCAGGAAAAAATCAACTAATTTTTTTATTTTTTAAAATAAAATATTTTATTTTTTTAAAAAAAAATATTCAAGGTAATGTCATTAATAAAATAAAAACAGTTAATACTTATTACCTCGCTGGCATGTGGGTTGACAGTTCAAGATGTAACTTGAGCCTCGGAGTATTTCGTGGATTTAATTGGGTTAAGAGAGAATTGCAGATTAAGGCCCAGTGGGCTTCTGTATAAATAGTATAGTTGATGGATGAAATAATGACCCTATAGAGGCCTGCCTCGGATAATAACCTTTTTGTGTTTCACTTTTGCTAGAGTAAATTATAATTTAATATCCAGGTTCTTAGGATTTTGTGAGTTGCCCCTGGAAAATTAGGAAAACATAAAATAAAATAATGCAATATTCTATCAATGATAAAAATAAAATAAAAAATTATTTCAACCATTATTATTTGATGATGAAAACATGTCCTGGAGTGTAAAATTTAAAAAATAAATTTATTTAATATTTTTAATTTTTTTTATATGCTAATATTAAAAATAATTTTTTAAAAAAATATATTATTTTAATATATTTTTAAATTAAAAAATATTTCAAAAAATAGCTATTATTATATTTCTAACTAAACCCTCTTTTAATAAAATAAAATTCTTTTAGAATTTGCAATTTGATGCGAGTAATTTTTCTGAGACAAGTAATTAACGATCCAGATTCTTATCACTTCTAAGAGGATTATTTGACCTTGTAAGAAGTTTTTTCTTTTTTTTCAAATGAAGTAAAAGAAAGATTATATTATAAATTTTAAAAAATAAAAAATATTATTTTAAAAACAACTACTACCATATTTATAAATTAAGTTAGGTTTCTTTTAAAATTAAACATACAATTGACGAAATAAAAATCGGGCAACCTATGATTCAGGAAAAACTCAATTAATTTTTTTATTTTTTTGAATAACATCTTTTAATTTTTTTAAAAAAAATATTCAAGGTAATGTCATTAAAAAAATAAAAACAGTTAAATACTTATTACCTCGCTGGCATGTGGGTTGACATTTCAAGATGTAACTCGAGCCTCGGAGTATTTCGTGGATTTAATTGGGTTAAGAGAGAAGTGCTCTCTTCTCTTATGCAGATTAAGGCCCAGTGGGCTTCTGTATAAATAGTATAGTTGATGGATGAAATAATGACCCTATAGAGGCCTGCCTCGGATAATAACCTTTTTGTGTTTCACTTTTGCTAGAGTAAATTATAATTTAATATCCAGGTTCTTAGGATTTTGTGAGTTGCCCTGGAAAATTAGAAAAAATAAATAAAATTATGCAATATTCTATCAATGATAAATAAAAAAAAAATTATTTCAACAATTATTATTTCAATAATGAAAACCCGTTATAGAGGGTAAAATTTAGAAAATAAATTTATTTAATATTTTTAGATTGTTTTGATATGTTAATATTAAAAATAATTTTTTAAAAAATATTATTTTAATATATTTTTAAATTAAAAAATTATTTTAAAAAATAGCTATTATTATATTTCTAACTAAACCCTCTTTTAATAAAATAAAATTCTTTTAGAATTTGCAATTTGATGCGAGTAATTTTTCCGAAATTAACGATCCAGATTCTTATCACTTCTAAGAGGATTTGACCTTTTAAGAATTTTTTTTTTTTTCAAATGAAGTAAAAGAAAGATTTCCAAGGTAAAAAAAAAAAACATTATAGCTTTAGATAAATAGAAATTGGCAAAAAAAATCGTAACAATTTTTTTTATTTTTCATTCTTTTGATTTTTTAAATAAATTTTTGAGTTTCTAATAATTTTTAACTAAACTAATAAGAAGCTGAAATCTGAGCTCCTTTTCTCTTTAAAAATCAAGATTAACAAAATATTGGGTTGATTATCAATAGAATTACCTCTAACACTTTCTAATAGAGAAAATTATAGGAACTTAATTACTCAAATTAAAACTATAAGAATGTGTTTATCAAAAATCAATACACAAAGATATCTAATGTCATTAAATTCATGGGATTATAACCAAATCTCGTTTTTAAGTATATTTTCAGTCAAATTACGTTGTTTAAATTTGATTGTAACACGAATAACTATGAGAAAGCATTGACTATTGGATGCAGCATAGCTCAAAATAATCTGTCTCCTGAAAATTAGTTAATAAACTTGGGGAATTATTTTTTATTTTTTATTTTAAATTAATATTTTTAAATTGTTTTGATGAACTAATATTAAAATACTTTTAAAAAAATAAAAAATATTTTAATATATTTTTAAATAAAATACACTTTAAAAAATAACTATTATAATACTTTCAGACATTTTTAAACATATCCGTAAAGAAATCCATGTGCATTTCCATTTCAAATTTGTCTGCTTGCAAATTAAATTAAAATACAGTGAATATTATATAATACATCGAGACGCTCACACACAGTTTACTTCTAAACTTGAAGTTGACCGTTGATATATGTATAATAATAATGTTAAATAATACCTGTGATCTAAAAAATAATGTTCTAACCCGTGAGGATATCTCAGAGACATGAAGAGAATTAATCAAACAATACAGGAGGACTTTATTAAGACTTAAAATCAAACAAACACTTGAATTATTCAAGATTAAATTTCATGTGTTCTTAGCTAGCTAGAACACTTATTTCTAGTGTTGATCATTAAACCCTTAGAACAGCACAAGAGCTTAAGCTTTAACAAATGGATAAATCTCATACCTAACCGTACAACTCCCACCAGTAACCCTACCCCCTTCTTTTCCACCAGAAAAACCTTGAAGCTCACTTATAGCACTATTTAGACACTTCTTACAATCAACACTAGAGAGATCCCTTGTGCATTGAGCCATTCCGTAAAGTTTCTTCGATCCCCCGAGGCCCAACTCTCCAGCGGCATACATTTTCCTTGCGATATAAGCCTTGTTTGCCAGTTGGCTCAACAAGTCCTTTGTCTTCTGATTAAATACCACTGGATTGCTCACATTTCGCACGTTATACAAGTAGATCTTGTTTCGGCTATCAATCTGGCCGAAGAAGTCCTTGTTTGAATACTTCAGTAGACAGTTATCGTAAGCTATGAATCCACTTTTACCGTATGGGCAGCGCTTGCGGATCTCCCTGGTTGCATCAGCAACACAGGCACTGCAGTCTGAGGATGAGACATCTCCTCTGCAAAGAACGAGCCCATATGGTCGGTCTAGGTTTCTCTGACCTAAAGAACCAAGGGCAAAGCCTTCCTTAGCTGGTGCAAGTTGGTAGAAAGAACTCATTAGAACGTCCAAGCTTTTTTTATAAGAGCCATAGTTAGCAGTTGATTTCTCGTTGCCTGAACAGCTACTATATAGAGGGTCAACTCCAAGAACATTTTGGAGAAGTAGAGAGAGAGTTAGAAGGTAGAGAGAGGAGGTGAATCTGGAGGAAGACATTGTTTGAACTACTCAATCTAGATATCAGAGAGCTGGAATAGTAAGTTGATGAGGTTGGGAGGATATGATAGCATGTATTTATAGTGGTAATCTCCATGTTAATTAAAGGCTGGGAGGATGCATGAACTTGTCCAAGTTTGAATTTGCCAGCTGCTCAAGTTGACAAGAATTGTTCAAGGATATTATGGGAGGATTGCGGAACTTGTATAGTTAATCAAGAAAGAAACAATCTTAGGAAGGTAAATCAAGAAAATGTCAATGAACCAAAAGGATTGTTTTTATTTTATTTTGATTTTTTGTATGCAACACGCAAAGGTGAGTAAATTAAGCACAAACAGGTGCTCCTAATCAATATATATATGCACACACTGCCTTTATGTTTATCGCTTCGATATTAGCATAATTGTTTCTTGAATATTAAACAGATTTTCAGCCCTGCAAGCTTCCAAGAAACAATAAATTAATTTCTTTTAGAGCGTGCAATTGGATAAAAACAAGTAATTTGACCAAGACAATTGTAATTAAAAATCAAGATTTCTATCACCTCCTAGAGCTGGAGTTGGCCTTGGAAAATGTTGCTGGATATTCATTTAATCAGCAAGCAAGACAATGCAAAGAGTTTCCCATAGAAACTATAAGAATGTGTTTATCAAAATCAATACCACGAAGATATCTTCTTCTGTATAATAATAAGAAAACAGTCAAGAATGTGTTTATCAAAATCAATACCACAAAGATATCTTCTTCTTCTGTATAATAATAAGAAAACAGTCGTTTAGAAGATCCCCTAAAAAATTGAATGATTATTCACAGGAAAATAAAATGATTGCGTTACAAATGAGATAAGGGGTACAAAAAAAAAAAAAATAACAGGAAAGAGCAACGAATAAATGATGTGTATTTATTCAAATTCAAATACCTAAAATTAAATTAACTACATTTTAGCCAAAACGATAATCTATACATGTTCGAGGGGAGCTAGAATTTATAATTTCAATATAGATGCATCTGGTTAAAAACATATTATTTTTTATAAGTTAAACACTCAATATTGTACCAAAAAAAGAGATCTCAAGCCCGACTTTAAAATCTATATTTCACTAGAGAATACCATTAACAAATCAATAAATTCAGAGTCTATGTGATGAACCCACTACCCCCATCATTGTAAGAATGTTATCCATAATTACCAATATATTAGAATAATATAATAACAAGTAACTTTAATTTTAGTGTATTTAAAAATATAATAACAGTTGTTTTTAAAGTATTTTTTGTTTAAAAAATTATTTTTGATATCTGTAAATCAAAACAATCAAGAAATATCAAGAAGAAATAAATTTAAAAAAAAAAAATAAAAATAAACAGGGTGGAAGTCTTCCGCTCACAGAATGCACATATAAATGAATTGCTCTTGATCCTGTAATAACACGACCAGGAAGATATCTAATGTTATTAAATTCATGGGGATGTAACCAAATCTCGTTTTAAGTGTCTTTTCAGTCAAATTACGTAGTTTAGATTTGATTGCAACGCGAAGAACCCCAAGAAAGCATTGTTTATTTTGAATAGAATATCCAAAAAAAAAAAAAACTGTGCTATCCTCCCATGGATAAGTATTTAACAAATGTGGCAGAAACAGTCATGTTAAGGAAATCCATGTGCATGATATCTATGATCACGTCAACTAGTTCTTCATATATATATATATAAACAACTTCAATTTATTCCTAAAGATTTGCCTCCTCTTAGAATTTCGTTTGGGATGATTTTTTAATTTAAATCGTTGCCCAAAATTATATATATATATATATAACAACTTACAATTTATTCCTAAGATTTGCCTCCTCTTAGAATTTCGTTTGGGATGATTTTTTAATTTAAATCGTTGCCCAAAATTATTTTTCTCAAATAATTTATGACAGTATAAACTGAAACAATTTCAAGTTAGAAGCATGTTTAGTGAAAATAACTCATATCATTTTCTTAAAAAAATAATTCATAACATAAATTTCAAGCCAATGAAGAACGACTGGTCCAATTCCATGGACAATTCAATAAGCGGGGCGATGTCATGGAAGAAAACACAAATAGTTGCCATCACTGCCTTAGTTGACCAGCAAGCTGATCATGTCTAGTTGTCTTCACGGCATAATAAGCAGGCTAATACCATAGACAATCCAGCCTTCCCCATCCCGTAACTCATGGAAGCTTTAAAATATTCCCAGAGCACTACCACTACTCATGTATTTCCTTGTCTTGTAGGATCATGCTTGGATTAGGTGCACCTCAAAGGAAAGCCATCCCTTCTTTCACATGGACGCCACTAACCACTCCATGGATTATTTGACTTCTTGGCCTCACTTGGAATCTGTCTCCTGCTACTTCCATCTATGTCTGCATATGTGAACGAGCGCAATTTGACAAGCATGGTCATTTCGTAAGAATTACATTAGCCAACTTCC